TCTGGACACAGTTTTTGGTAATCCCGCACCTCCTCCTAACTTATCCAAATCTACGATTTCTCTCTGCATTATATCAACAACATTGCCCTCAGGACATGACATCTCCACTTGCCTCAGCCTTCTCTCCGCTTGGCAACAATCATCACCCATGCTTCACACCCATATAAGAGACGTTGGTAAAATATACTCTCATACTCATTCCCCTCTTGCCTCCAAGGACAAGTTCTCTGTCTCCACAGACTACTAAGTGCACCAGCTCATCTTTTTCCCTCATCAATTTATGATTCACCTCATTTGCATAGACCCCATCCGCTGACACGTCCACTCCCAAATATCTGAATACGTTCACTCCTCCATACTCTCTCCTCCAATCTGAATATTCAATCTTCATCACCTAATCTTTTTGTTTCTCCTCACTAAACTTACTCTTTCCTGTATTCACCTTTTAATTTTTCTTCTTTTGCACACCCTACCAAATTCATCCACCATCTCTGCAGCTTCTCTTCAGAATCTCCCAAGAGCACAGAGTCATCAGCAAAGAAGCAGCTGTGACAACTCCCACCCTGTGTGTGATTCTTTATCTTTTAATCCACGCCTCTTGCCAAGACCCTGATTTCCTTTCTTACAACCCATCTATAATTATATTAAACAACCACGGTGGGAAAAACATTTTATTTCTTTTTTTTTTCCACACATCCTTTGTCTAAAGGGCCTACTTTCTTTACTGGAAAAAAATTTCCCTCTTTTTAGACATACTCTAAACTTGGAGCCTCACTATCATCGTAAAAAACATCTTCACTGCTTTCAGATAAATACCTCCTACACCATAAACTTGCAAACATCTGCCCACTATGCCCCCTATCCCACACTGTCATACGCCTTTTCCAAATCCATAAATGCCACAAGACCTCTTTAGCCTTATTAAATACTGTTCACTTATGTTTCCTGTAAACACTGGTCCACACACCCCCTACCTTTCCCTAAAGCCTCTTGTTTTCATCTGCTATCATATTCTCCGTCTTACTCTTAATTATTTCAGTTATAACTCTACCATACTCTTTACCAGGTACATCAACAGACTTATCCCTATAATTTTTGCTCTCTCTTTTATCCCTTTGCCTTTATACAAAGAACTATGCATGCTCTCTGCCAAATTCCCTAGGTACTTACCTTTCCTTCAGTTATTAACATATTGCACCAACCATCCAAAACTTATATCCCCACCTGCTTTTAAACATTTCTATCTTATTCCCATCATCCCAGCTGCCGTACCCCTCCTTTCATTTTACCTACTGCTCACGAAACTTCCCCACACTCACAAATGGCTCTTCCTCACTCCTACAAGGATGTTATTCTCTTGGCCTATACACGAATTCACAGCTTCCATATCTTCATCAACATTTTAACAATTCCTCAAAAATATTCCCTCCATCTTCCCAATACCTTCTAATCTCCATTTAATAACTCTCCTCTCCTATTTTTAACTGACAAATCCATTGTTTCTAGGCTTCTTACTTGTTAATCTATCCAAAACTTTTGCTTATTTTCACAAAATTTGTTGATAACAGCTCACCCACTCTCTCATTTTTACTCTCTTTTTACCATTGCTTCAACACTCTCTTAAACCTTCTCTTTTTCTCCATATACTTCTTCACTCCTTGCATCACTTCTACTTTGTAAAACTTCTCATATGCTAACTTTTTCTCCCTTTCTACTCTCTTTACATCATTCATTCCACCAATCGCTCAGATCTCCTCCTGCACCCACTTCTTGTAACACAAACTTTGCTGGAACACTCTAACACTTAACATTTTCCAAACCTACCCCATTCCTCATTCGACCCAATGCTATGCTTCATTAGCCCATCTATCCTCCATTAGCTGTTTATATCTTACCCTAACTGCCTCCTCTTATTAGTTTATAACTTCACCTCTCTCTTCCCTGATGCTTCTATTCTCCTTGTATCCCATCTACCTTTTTACTCTCAGTGTGTAGCTACAACGAGGAAGTGATCTGATATATCTGTCGCGCCCCTCGATAAACATGTACACCTGAAGTCTATCAACAGTTCTTTTATCTACTAATACATATTCCCAACAAATACTGTCATTTCGCCACCTACATATATCGTGTATACTTATTTATCCTCTTTTCTTAAAGTATGTATTACCTATAACTAAACACATTTCTATTACAAAGTTTCATCAAAGGGCTTGCCATTATCATTTTACACCGCACCCCAAACTGACCTACCACACCCTCTTCTAAAAGTTTCTCTACTTTTAGCATTCGGTCCCTACCACAATTAACTCTCTCACATGGTTCAAAGGCTCCTATAAGTTCACTAACATCTCCAAAATCTCTCTTTCTCCTCTGCATTCCTCTCTTCTCCAGGTTGCATTACACGCTTATTATGATCCATTCGCGCATCCAACTTTACTTTATCCACAATAATTCTCGAATTTAACATTCATATTCTCTTTTCTACCTTCCATAACTGATCATTTAACATTACTGCTACCCTTCCTTTGCTTAACTCTCTCAGATACTCCAGAATTTAATCCATTTATTTCCACCACTGAAACTCTCCTACCCCTTCAGCTTTGTTCGATTAGAGCCACGACATCCAACTTCTTTTATTATAACTCAGCAATCATCTGTTTCTTGTCATCCGCACTACATTCCACGCAATTTAAAAACCAGTTTTATAAAGTTTTTCTTCTTCTCTTTTTTAGTAATGTATTTACAGGAGAAGGGGTTACTAGCCATTGCTCCCGGCATTTTAGTCGCCTCATACGACACGCATGGCTTACGGAGGAAAGATTCTTTTCCACTTCCCCATGGACAATAGAAGAAATAAAAAAGAACAAGAGCTATTTAGAATAAGGAGAAAAACCTAGATGTATGTATATATATATATGCATGTGCGTGTCTGTGAAGTGTGACCAAAGTGTAAGTAGGAGTAGCAAGATATCCCTGTTATCTAGCGTGTTTATGAGACAGAAAAAGAAAACCAGCAATCCTACCATCATGCAAAACAGTTACAGGTTTTTGTTTCACAGTCATCTGGCAGGACGGTAGTACTTCCCTGGATGGTTGCTGTCTACCAACCTACTACCTATATCAGTTGCCCCTCTATAAACATGTACATCCTGGAGCCTACCCATTAACCTTTTAACCACCAATACTTAATCTAACAAACTACTTTCATTACGCGCTACATCATACCTTGTATATTTATTTATCCTCTTTTCATAAAATATTTATTACTTATTACCAAATCTCTTTCTACACATAGCTCAATTAAAGGCTCCCCATTTGCATTTACCCCTGGCACCCCAAATTTACCTACTACTCCCTCCACAACATTTTTACCCACTTTAGCATTGAAATCCCCAACCACAAGTACTCTCACACTTGGTTCAAAACTCCCCACACATTCACTCAACATTTCCCAAAATCTCTCTCTCTCCTCTACACTTCTCTCTTCTCCAGGTGACCTAAGTGTAAGTAATTATTATTATTTGATATTAAAGCAGTTAATAGTACGTTGAAGATTGAAACTTTTGCAACATATGGGAATCTCTATTGAAGAAATGTTTCACCACACAGTGGCTTCATCAGTCCAGTACAAAGCAGAAAGGTGTAAGGAGATTAGGGGTTTGAGATAATTAGTCCCTCAGCCTGGAATCAATGTGTTCAGTCCATCACTCTTGTAGAAAGTACAGCATATTGCCGGAGAAGTGGCTCATATACCGTAGTTAGGTGAGCGGAAGCAAGAGGCAGCAGGGGGATAAGAGTGGTACCATCCACTAGTGTAAGTAGGTCTTCGTCCAAAGGTTGGACAAGTATTGAAGAATTCCTTGTATCAAGATCCCATGATGTAACAGTGTCTGACAGATGTGATAAATGGTTTTGAAAACCAACAAGTTGAAGATTAGTAAAAGGACACAAGTGCAACTAATGTGACATTTTATTGTGGCAACATTTTGCTCTCCAGGAGCTTTGTCAAGCTGGCTTGACAAAGCTCCTGGAGAGCGAAATATTGCCACAATAAAATGTTACAATAGCTGCACTTGTGTCCTTTTACTTTATATAATGTCAGTAATTCTATCAGCATTTATACAAGTTGAAGACTGAGACACTTATGCAACATATGGGAATCTTTATTGAAGAAACATTTTGCCAAACAGTGGCTTCATCAGTCCAATACAAAGCCTCATCCTGCTTCCGCTCACCTGACTACAGTATATAAGCCACTTCTCTGGCCCAATGCTGTACTTTCTACAAGTTTGATGGGCTGAGCACATTGATTCCAGGCTGATGGACTGATTACCTCATACACCTCCTCTCCTTACACCTTTCTGCTTTGTACTGGACTGATGAAGCCACTGTACGGCAAAATGTTTCTTCAGTAAAGAGTCCCATGTTGCATAAGTGTCTCAATCTTTAACTTGTCAGTTTTCAAAACTATTTATCACATAAAAACGTGCTCTAACAGTGAAGTATGAGGGTCATATTTATAAAAACTATGCTCCTTACTCACTTAAAATGTTAACCCTAAATAATCACACTTCAGCATCTGCCACATTAAACAGTGGGAAACATATTTTCTTTAATTCAATGGCCAACTCCCGTCAAGGCAAGGTGACCCAAACAAAATATTCACCAAATATTACCAACTCAATGTACTTATGTTTTATAATGAAAAGATTTTGGTGTGCTTCTAGTAAGCTATAATCTGGCATATTCTAAGATTTTTTTTAACTTTTACCATAAGTTTCATAGATTTTTTGTTAAGACTGTTTGAATGCGAGTCTAAAGTCATTATTACTACTTATGAGTGATTGTGAATCATCCTCTCCTAGGCCTAGAAAGACACTGCTTTACATTTCAATTCCTCTCTCCACTTGGGAAGGAGCCAGGGTTATTTGAAGTTTCTCTATTGGATAGAGGCTATGTCAAAAATTTCCTGAGCTCCTGAAAGACTCTAATAGGGCCTATAGTAGTAGGAACTCTGGTGTCGCTTCCTGGTAAAGGGTTTTAAAAATTACTCTAGGTGAAATTCTCACCTGTTCCAATAAACTCCAAGTTAGTTTTATATCACTGAGAATCATCATGGTCTCTCTCTTCCTATGTAAAAATGTTTCTACAGCTTCACCCATCTGCTGAATGGGAGGTTTCTGAGCTTGCTCCTGGTGAGGGACAGCCTTGAAGAACTTGGACCATAATTCTGACAGCACTGAAGCTGGCTGCAATGAACAATTACATATATACCATTTAATTTACAAAAAATATAAAAATTTACTCATGTTATTTTCATTAAAAATTGTTAGATCATTAGAATACTGAAACAACTGCAAATATAATCAAGTAAAATTGAAATATTGTGTAATTACAGTATTAATGATGTTTGAAATAAGAATTACACAATGTGACAGTGAAAATTTTTTATAAGGAGTACTGGAGACAGACCCAACAACCTTGTCATTGTAAAGTCATATATTGTAGGCTTACAATTGTAAGGTTACCAATTCAGGTCCCATTATAATATCCTAACACAATAAATGTTTATATCAAATGAATTTTTATGCACAGCAACATCTAAAGAACTAAAAGAAAAGCTAATGAAATCTGCTTATATTTTTCCACAAAATAAGAGGTCAAACATTACTTATCAGATAAGGAATCAGAACACCAATCAAGAGAAAAGAAGAGAAAAGCCAAGGTAATCACATTCGACATTATAAAGGATAAGAAAAAACTAACAAGGAATACTTCCTAGTCTCATCAACTGGCATAACAAGAGACCATACCTGTAAATTAAAGTTAGTTCCCAAAAAAACTAAGTGCTACAACAAATAGAAACTTGAAAAACCTTTATGAGAGACAATATACTAAAGATAGGACACCATGAGCTTAGCTCTGCTGCAATAGCTACAAATAGGTACAGTACCTAAAGAATTTTAACCCTTTTACTTTGTCTCCCACACACATTCTGGAGGCAAGTGGCACGTATGTATATAGAATATGTTTTAATCACAGTGCCCTCAAATATGCTAAAGTGTAAATTTTGGACTATACATGAATGGGTCTGTGCAGTGCATGCACAGTATAAAAAAAAAATCCTGCCTCACATAATGATGATAGAAACGACTAACCTCTGATCTTGTACTTGGGTTGAAACAGTGACTCTGCAGTATTTTCTAGAGTAGCTTTCATGTTTTATTGCCTATTGGTGTCATCTGATAGATTGAATGACATACTAGTGAAGAGGAAATGATTTTGGTTGGCTTCACACTTGAAGTAGATTGAAAGAGGCCTCAAAGTGACAGAAATATTTAATTTTTGCCAATTTTCTGGAGAAAGGGTTGGGACCTCCTAACCACTCCCACCAGTTTGTTTTATGGGTTTTTACTAGATCTGCTTCAATTACTGGAATGGCCTAAACTATGACCTATCATTTTTGGTTATATTAAGCCAAATCAAATAGATAAAAACTGAGTTTTTGTGTGAAGATGGGTTGAAAATAGAGGGCAAATGTTATATATGAGAGGCCTGGAGAGGTGTTATACTTTTCAGTGGCTGTCACTGAAGTCAAGGTCCCTCACATAGTTCTATGTAAAAAGCTCAGCTCACTCAGGTAAGCTGTGAGCAGTAAATTTTGACTTGTATAGGAAAGAATGAGTCTGTGTGGTGAATGTGCACAGTATAAAAACAATTCTTCCCCACATGACTCATGATGGTTTAAAATAGGGATTTTGAGGTGTTTTCTAGGATGGTTTTTATGGTTTTACTGATTGTTTTGTGATATTCTTTGACAGAATGGAAAACTTATCACTGAACTGAAAGTAGTTTGAAACTGGGTTCAAAGTAACAGAAATATTTGATTATTGCCTATATTCCTGAGGATAGGTAAGGCCCCTCTCTTCTTCCCCCAGTCAGTTTTATGGGTTTTTATTAGGTCTGCTTCAATTACTGGGACACCCTAAACTACTGTTAATCATTCTAGTTAATGGTAAAAATCTTGATTTTTAGTGATTCATTACAAACTGGAGGGTACGAGTTGTATAGTTGAGATCTAACATGATTAATAAACAGAGGAAAGGTTGCTTAAGTAGCTGGAATGCCTAGTGTTTATTTTGAATTTTGTTTTTAAATTAGAATTTGTTGAATGTTGAGTAAAATTGCCAAAATTACCACGTTCTGGGTACTTAATAGGATAGCTCTGATAATAATAATTTGGACATGATACATGGTTCACCTGGAGTTTACCTGGAGAGGGTTTCAGGGGTCAATGCCCCTGTGGCCCGGTCTGAGACCAGGCCTCATGGTGGATCAGGGTCTGATCAACCAGGCTGTTACTGCTACGTTGTGTGATGTGTTGCGTGTTGTGTGTGTTATGTGCATGTATATTATGTTTATGTATGTATATTATGTGTGTATATTAAATGCATACACGAGGAGCTTAACTAGCACCTTGGTAAATACAAATTCACATGAAGTTGAGATAATTTGAATATCAGTTGCATAATACATGAGTTAACAAGGGCAATTGATGAGATGGAAGGATGCCAAGATGGTCATGGAAGAGAACAACTGGCAAAAACTTTGCTGCCTCAAGACTGCCTTGATGGCTTTTCTCGACACAGTAGCCCAAAACTCTAGATAGCTTTAGCATCTTGTGTGCGCACGCCAAGCTGATTCTACTCCTTCACAGATTACACTAACAGGTAACACATGCTCAAGTACCTGACATCACAGAACTTAATTCTACCTAGTGCCCTTGACTTCCATTTGCTACATAGCATTTTTTCTTTTCTCTGTACTGGACTGAAAAATCTCCCAGTTGGCCAAATGTCTCTTACTTAAATAGCCTCTGTCATGTTTGGTGTGTCCAATTTATAGAATGTCATTACTGTCATACCTGTACATGCACCAAGAATGTTCTTGTTTGTCATCTTCACAAAATATATAATACTGACATTTGGTTTCATCCGGTATTTAATTCAGAAATTCTAGCACTCAAATATTCTTAGTGTATTTGGCTTTTACATGTGTAACTTAAACACTGTACATGCATTCTGATATAACTCAAGTTAGTCGGAAGTACTGCATCACAAACCTCCTGAACGGAGCACACCTCTCACTGATCAGGTTACCCACAGTGGGAAGCACTACAAAGATTTTATGACTTACAATTTATTCATTTTATATTTACTTACTTAACCCATTGACTGTCGCGGCCGTATATATATGTCTTACGAGGTACCGTGTTTGACGTATATATACTTAAATTCTAGTGGCTTCAAATCAAGCAGGAGAAAGCTGGTAAGCCCACATGTGAGAGAATGGGTCTGTGTGGTCAGTGTGCACCATATAAAAAAAATCCTGGAGCACACAGTGCATAATGAGAAAAAAAAAACTCCAACCGTTTTTTTTAATTAAACTGCCGACTCTGTGGTCTATTTTCGTATAGTATTTATGGTTGTATTCTCGTTTTCTTGGTCTCATTTGATAGAATGGAAAACATATTATAGAAATAGATGTGATTTTGATTGATTTTACTATAAAAAGAACCTAGAAATGGAGCTCAAAGTAGGGGAAATGTTTGATTTTTGCCAATGTTCAAAAGTAAACAAATGATGCCATTGTCCAATAAATGTCCAACTAGCCATTCTAATATGCAGTCATGAATGGGTTGATGTTATTTATACAATTATTACAGTATTGCAGTAGTCTGCATAATAGTAAGTCTTCTAATTTTTGTTTGAATAAAAATTCAAAATAGAAAGCAAGAGTAATATCAGAGGGACCTGGAGACGTGACTGATGAACAAAGAAAATGTTATTTTAGAACCAAGAATGTCTGCATTGTTCATTCTGGAGCTTATTTTGAAATTGTCATATTTTTTAGTTTTCGTGAAATTGGCCAAATTGCAAATTTCTGACCACATTATTGGGTAGTTGAAATCGGTAAATGGGCAGTTTCTTGTACTCAATCGACAGAAAAAATGGAGTTCTAAAGAAATAGCTATGAGTTTGGGCGACTGGAACAATGGAATTAGCCGAAAATAGGGCTCAAAGTGGGCGAAATCGCCATTTTGTAAACAGCGCCGAGGTCGCTAACTTCGCGAAAGCATAATTCCGTCAGTTTTCCATCAAATTTCGTTTTTTTGGCGTCATTACAATCGGGAAAAGATTCTCTATCATTTCATAAGAAAAAATATTTTTTTTTTTTAAATTTTGCGACACCAGGTGACACTTCAGGATTGGGGGTTGCGACAGTCAAAAGGTTAAAACTCTTTTGCTGCTCTTTTAAAGATAAGAAATTTACAAAACAAAAATATTAGCAAACTGCAAAATTTACACATTCTTCCTTGGTTTCTGATTACAATGAAAAACACTTGGTTGTACAAAGGAATATAATAGTAGGGTGAATATGCCAAACGCCCCTTTACATGCAGAACATTTTGGGCAGCTTCTTGCACTCAATCAATCGAAGGCATCACTGGAAGGCATACTAGAGAAAGTGCCAGGAACTAGATTGGTTTGATAGGGAAACTGGCCAAAAATAGGCCTCAAATTGGGTGCAATTGCAACAGTGTGAAGTGTTCCCCCAACTGTCACCTTTTCACTTGCATAACTTTAGAAAAAGATTTTCTACCATTTTCAGTGGTACTTTTAACCTTAAACTGTCCAAACATAGATCTACGTTCACTTGCGTAGCGCTCCAAATATTTTGAAAAATAAAAAAATCTTTTTTTTCTTTTAAAATGAAGAGCACATTTTTCTACATGTTATAGGATGAAAAAAAATTTAGAGTCAGTACTTACCAAGATATAAGACCATGAAGTTGGCTCTGGAGACTCGCCTGATGGCAACATCGACTCCTGCCACTTGCAGAAGTGTTGCCGATATACCTTTTTTTCTAGTTTTTATTCTAATAATTACAATTTATAGCAGTTCTTGTAATTTCAAAGCCAATCTTTGTTCTGACACTAATATTAGGTACTGAAATAGTGCTCAAATAGTCACAGTCACATTGACAGGTGAACATTTACACCTGCCTGTGTTATTTACTAATGTCTAGAAATATATACAAAGTATTTATAGGTCCCAGCAATGTTTTAGACACCCTGGCATATACCTTGCAGCATGTTGCTATGAAAGGCATCCCTATACTGTTGACACCCCAGTGACATTTGATAAATGCCCACTGCTCCAGCTAGCCCTCTCTGTATTTGTTATCACTGTTACACACAAACATGTCTTGTCTCTCTATTTATCTGTCTGTCTGCCTGCCTATCTGCCTGTCTATCTATCTGTCTGTCTATCTTTCTCTGTCTATCTGCCTTCCTGTCTCTCTATCTGCCTTCCTGTCTGTCTGTCTCTGCTTATCTGTCTTTCTGTCTACCTGGGGTATACGTACATCACACTCCTTGAAGAATGGTGTTGTGACATCTGTTATCAGCTCGGTGACATTTGATAAATGGGCGCTCGGGGAACCCTGGATTTATTTGTTTTCAGTGATACACACAAACATGTTTCTGTCTATCTCTCTGTCTGTCTGCCTGTCTATCTGTATCTTTGCCTGAAATTTTTGGATTATCCTAGGTAATTTACACTATGTATAATAATTGTACTTATGTTACACAAATAACCCGCACATAGAAGAGAGGATCTTATATATACCCGTCCTGCTCCAATTCTGATTAGTGTGACTTTGTAAATGGTCCAAGTTGGACCGAAACTTCGTCATAAGCTCCTCTCTTCTATGTGCGGGTTATTTGTGTATCATTCCAGTCACGGTATTGTGTCTTTTTTGTTATTTATTGTACTTATGTGTACATGTGAGACAGAGATATAGATAGATAGAGATATAGACAGATATATAGAGATATAGCTAGACAGATATAGACAGAGAGACAGCCAGAGACAGCCAAAACCAGCCAGCCAGCCAGCCTGCCAAATACATAAGAACATAAGAGAGAAGGAACACTGCAGCAGGCCTACTGGCCCATGCAAGGCAGGTACATGTCACCCTCCTCCCCCCGGCTTAGACCAATGACTCACCTAGTCAGGTCACATCCAATGAAGGAAGGAGCATGACATCAGACCTAGTAGCACAAGCTAGTCAGGTAAAGCTCACACCCCACACTCACTCATGTGTTTATCTAACCTATTTTTACTTTCCTCTTAAAACAGGAGTGTTAATGCGACATGATATCAGTGAATCCCTGGTGTTTGCCACGCTATTTCCTCTAGCTGGCGCTCAATTGAACTGGTGCTCCCACAAGGTACTAAGTGCTCCCAGATTTTTTTAACAGTGCACACACTGAGTGCACAGACACTTTCTTTCATGTCTACGCGAATCAAGCCTATTGTGCCAAATTTGAAGGAATGAAAAATAAAACGTTGATCTATGTTTGGAGTGCTACGCAGGCAAACGTAGATCTATGTTTAGACAGTTTAAGGGTTAAGTACTGGGTTGCAACAGTAAAAGGGTTAAGAAAAAATATCTGGTTCATTTACAACAAAAGTAAATTCAGAAACACTAGAGCAAATTATTTAAAATTACCTTTCTTGCTTTTATTGCTTTCTCAATATCAGTAAGAGCTTCCTCTGCCTTGCTAAGCATCTTCTCTGAGATCCTTTCTGGTGTTATTTTCCTTTGGTCTAGGGGGATAAAAGTAATTTTTTACAGGAGATAACAATTAGATTTAGTAGACTGTAGCAGTAAACAACACAATGGATAATGATAATTAGATACAATTGCACAAAACACAATTAGTAAAAGATGCAATTGTTTGGACACATGTTTATAAGAGTACATTAATTAGACAAATAGGGTGCAACTGTAAAGGAAGACCATAGAATACATATGGCACATTAGGGAAAAATGTTTGCAAAACAAATTCAGGTATAGTGCTGAAGTTTATATAAATCTACACAATCAACAGGAGAGCAGAGAGAGCTTTATCGAGTGCTATTCTACATCTACAGTGGACCCCCGGTTATTGGCCAGTCTGGTTATCGGCCAACTCGGTTATCGGCGGGGTTTTCGGCGCTTGGTTATCAGCCGTTTTGGACGCGTCCATCCACTGGCTGGGCCAGCTTGCGCTTCAGTTTGGCTTTCTCTCTCGGTGGCTGAGGAAGCTTCTGCTCATACATCCAAACATTTTGCTTGTTTACCATTGTTTTTAGTGGTTTTTCTTGCAGTGCAACTGTGAAATAAGTAACCATGGCTCCAAAGAAAGTTCCTAGTAAAGTTCCTGTGGTAAAGAAAGTGAGAAACACCATGGAATTTAAGCGTGAAGTGATAGAAAAGTTTGAGAGTGGAATGAAGGTGCTGGAACTTGCCAGGATGTACAGCAAGAATAAATCAACAATTACATCCATCCTGGCAAAGTAAGAACAAATCAAAGATGCTAATGTTGCTTTTCTAACTTTAACAAAGGACACCAAAAATGGAAGAGATGGAAAAGTTATTATTATTGTGGATTAAGGAAAAAGAATTAGTGGGAGACAGTGTAGTGGAGTTGATCATGTGTGAGAAGGCAAAGCAGTTGCATGAGCATCTTGCAAAGAAAATGCCTGGAACAAGTGCTGCAGTTTGTGAATTTAGGGCCAGCAAACAATGGTTTGATAGATTTAAGAAGTGTAGTGGCATACACATTGTTGTAAGGCATGGTGAGGCTGCAAGTTCTGACAAATGTGCGGCTGAAAAGTATGTTCACGAATTCCAGGACTATGTAAAGGCTGAAGGATTCAAACCCCAACAAGTTTTCAACTGTGACAAAACAGGCCTGTTTTGGAAGAAAATGCCAAACAGGACCTACATTACCCAGGAGGAAAAGGCACTGCCAGGACACAAGCCTATGACAGACAGGCTTACTCTTTTGTTGTGTGGTAATGCTAGTGGGGATTTCAAAGTGAAGCCTTTACTTGTGTATCACTCAGAAAATCCCAGAGTGCTCAAGAAAAACATGTCATGAAGAATAGATTGTGTGTGATGTGGAGAGCTAATCATAAGGCATGGGCCACAAGGCAAATTTTCAAAGAGTGGGTTAATGATGTGTTTGGCCCAAGTGTGAAAAAATATCTCCTGGAAAAGAAATTGCCACTCAAGAGCCTCCTGTT